GGGGGGGGGGGCGACGCCCACGTAGTATTAGTCTGTTGGGGTGACGCCGATCCAAGATCGTTCCAAGGTCGGCCCAGGTGGCCCCCAAGACGGTCCCAAGACGCCTCTTCGACGGCCAAGATGTGCCAAACAGGGGCCCACGATCGCCCCTTGCTGGCCTGTTTCGAGACTGCCCAAGGGGCCCCCCGGGCCGCGAAGACCCCCGCGAGGCCCCCCAGGAGGCCACAAGCATTGACTTGCCTCAAATGTTTGAGAGGCTGTCTCCTGTTCTGACTTTTTCGGGCTTCCGCAAACCCAAGACGGCAGAACAAGCATGGCGCCGTTGCCGCAGCCCCGCGCAAAGAGTGTCTGAAAGTTCTGCTCCCGCTCATGTGCGGCACATGGATTGTTGCGGTCCATGGTTTCCTTCGTCGTACCGTCGGAAGCGGGGCTACGCGCGAGCTCGCAAGCGCATCCCGTTCGCTGGGTGTGGGGGCGCGCGCCAGTCCCTGTATCCAGTCGTCCTGGTATTGTGTATTACGTTGTGAGAAAGCAGGTGGAAGTGGGCGGGGCCCGCTGAGCCGCTCGAGCTAGATTGATCATCATCCTGCTCCCCCTCCGCCTCGCCCACCTTCCCGCCCCGTCTTGCTTGTTCGCAAAAATTAATCCACCCCAGAGGATTCTACTTTCGGGGGGCAAGCAGGACCGCCTTCCGACGAAACCTGGATAGAAAATCCTCCTCCTCCTCCTCCCATCGTGTTCCTCTTTCTCCTCCTCCTCCTCCTCCTCCTCCTCCTCCTCCTCATGATCATCCTCGCCCACCTCCCCACACAACGCAAAGCTCAAACAGATCCCATAATTCAGCTGCAGGTGACGCGAGCACCTAAGCTGCACCTCCTCCCGCCCGCGCACAATGAGCGATTCCCTCTTTACTCCCCTATCTGGGATCCGTGTGCTCACCTGAGCGTGGCCGCTGGGCAGCGCAGCGTGATCAAATTCTAACAATCGCACACCACCGCCAATTCATATGCTATCCGCCGATACACTGCGAGAAGTGTGGGGCGAAGCTGGGGCCCAAACTGGTCAATAACAAAGCTGGGAACAGTGTGTGCGACACGGACGAGCTAGGGCAGCAGGCTCAGCGTAATAAGGCAAGGGGCAGGCGGCTCGGACACCATCCTGCGAGAAGTGGGAGGTGAAGTTAGAGCCCGATGTCATCAACAGCTACGCTATGCCGCAGGGGGTCGGACGAGTTATCCACCACAGGGCAGAGATCAGATCGCGCGAGAACATTTCGGTGATCGCGGGGTAAGGCAAGTTCTCTGCTGCGATGTGGGGAACGGGTGGTGCGAGAACCAAGACAATGGCAGCAGGTCCTGTTGCCGCGGAGGTCGGACGAGCAATTCTAGGCCACAGTGCAAAAATCAGCTCGCGCGAGAACTTGTGAGAGAAGGTGAGGAATCCGCAAGCGCCCAGGGTCGGCCTGGGGAGTGGGCTCTCTTTTGAAACCAGTGGCCGCCGCATCAACGCCGCGACGCCTTCTGCTGCACTGCATAGTCCCGGATAGTCCTCCTCCTCCTCCTCCTCCTCCTCCTCCTCCTCCTCCTCCTCCTCTGGCACTGCAGTCAAGGAGCGGCACTGGTAAAGAACCACCAGGCTGGACCCCTAGGACGTCGAGTAGTGCATGTGCTAGCTGCAATCGGTAAAGGATGGTTTGCAAAAAGATTACGCCCTTCCCCAACTACCTCGGACCATGGATTTGTGACTGGCCGTCGGCGTGAAAACGCTGTCATGATATCACTAAATACATCATGGCGCCTCCGTGCCGCACAGAGGACACATGCAGTCTGCTTGAAGGACATGAGCAACGCATTTGGCAGCAGCAGCTTCGAGTCTATGAAAATCTCTGTCGCTCTACATGCGTCTGACCCCGACGTCGACCTATGTGAACAGCGTTTCTTGGATTCGACGATCTTGCTCCCGACGAATACAGGAGGAGTACTAGTTAAACTACGTCAGGGAGGCACAATGGGCGATCCTTTTATAGTATCGATGTTCGTTTCGACCTTTAAGAGACCAGTGATGAATTGGGAATATGACTTGCTTCAGTGGGATCCTACTTATCGTGATCTGAAGGCTAGCTGGGGGGGAGTTACAGTCAGACCTCTCCCTCCTCAAGTACGCCGACGACATTAACAAAATTGTGCTAGCTGATCTGGACAGTACCCTTGGAGAATTTCTAGACAAACTTAAGCGTGCGGATGTCTCTCTAAGTTCAAAGTTACAACCCTTCGGGTACGGCCAGAATATGTCCAAGCAGGAGTTTCTGTTTCACCTTAGTGCGAGTGCACATTCGTGTAAGCAGTATTTGCGTGACCATCCCCAGAGTCTGGAGGGCCGTATGCGAGACGACGCACGTTACCTAGGACCCCGCATCGTACTCAGGGACAGTGCAGCAAGCGAGGTGGGTCGTCGTCTGGCTTCGTCTCGTGCCTCTTTTCACAGTTTGGGGGGAATATGGTCCCTGGACCTGCCGTACCGATGGAAAAGATTCCTGTTTATTGGATTTGCTCAGAACTCTATCTTGAGTGGCATGGAGTCGTGGGTCCTCAGGGGTCACGACTACGACAGGCTGGATCGAGGACTGGCAGCTCTAGGCCGAATTGCGATGCAGGGAAAGGCCTCGACAGCATCGACGGTGCAGGAGGGTGATCACGTCAGATGTTTAACTACTCGGCAGGTTTTATCTTTCTGGAAGTTGGCCCCTAGTGCTGTCGAGCTCCGAGTTCGACGCGTTCGGTTATACCAGAGCTGGGCAAAGAAACCCAAGGAGAACGCCCAAATATTATGTAGTTTGTTTGGGAACACGTTGATGGACAATCACCGACCCCAACTTCGATACGGCCAACCTACGAAATTTGCCTCACCCTGGGTAGTGCAAGTGAAACGGGATTTGGAGGAGGTGGCGAGGGCGTTGGACAGCGAGGTGGTGGAGGAGGTGGCGAGGGACCTTACCATTCTTAAGGATGAGGAGAGGAGTTCGGATTTCGTGGCACTCGACGTTACGGAGCTTCGGGCACGCATGTTCACGGTCAGCATCCCTCCCCCTGGGAATTGGAGCTCTGGAGGTGGTTTACAGGAAGAAGAGGAGGAGGAGGAGGTGGAGCGCCCTTATGTTTGTGGTCTCACAACAGATGAGGGAGTATGTACGTCCGCCTTCACGACAAGAAGGGAGCTCATGAATCATCTCAGGCGGGTGCACCACCTGCGCAACCAGTGCTATGTCCTCACGCCTACAAATGTATGCCTTAATTGCAAGCAGGTCTTCGGGTGTAAAAGCACAGCGGCACGGCATTTGCAGGGATCATTGTCCAGGGGCCACTGTGTGACGAGGGGCCCGTCGAATCTGAGAGCCACCCCCGACATCCCGAACACGTTCGCCTGTTTGCTCTGTGACTTTACCGGATCAAATCTGCTGAGCCTGTGTGAGCACTTGTGCGGACACCTCCCCTTTCGGCTCCCACCGTATACAGGACAACCGACTTCTGTAGGTGATGCCACCAGCGGCCTCAAGCATGTCAGTCGAAGCTCCACATATACCTTCGTGGTTCAACGAGGGTATCAAGCGGAAGGCCGACGGGGAGGAGGAGGGGAAGCTAGAGGGCAAGGACAAGAAGGGCAAGGGGGGGCAGCGGGGTCGGCAGTGGCAGCAGCAGCGGGTTGGAGAAGAAGGTCGACATCGTCATTCGTCTCGTGCTCACCAATTCACGCGAGATAGCCGATTTGGGCGCCAGCGTGTTCCTTCGTTACCTGCTCGTGGTGTCTACCCCCCTCGTTGCCGCCATTCTCGCAACAGGGAAAGATTACGACCGCAAGTCACAGGAGATGAAAGAAAAGGCAAAGGGGGGGGAGAAGGTGGACTTCAAGAATCGTCCCTCCCCTCACGTGTGTATACTCACGGCAGCCGTACACTACGGCGCGACCAAGGCAGTCCAGGAGGGCAATATGAAAGCAAGGGACGAGAAGAACAAGGAGTTAATGAACCAGTTTTGGACAGAGAGGTTCGTGAATCTCGACTGGAGGGAGATCGGCAGGGCACGTGGGCATTTTCGCATCAAGACCCACCGCAAGGAGGAGGGGGCAGTGCAGACGTGCACGCTGTATATGCAATTCCACACGCGGGATCCGATCGCAGACGTCCTTTGCGGGTTGATGAAGGAGTTGGTGAAAGTGGAGGGGGGACTCTTCATGGTGGGAGCAGCGCCTCGGGCCCCCTTCGAGCGCGAGCTGTCCAAACAAGTAGGATTGAGCAGCAAGTGAGGGCCTTTGCGAATAGCGTCAGATATCAGCAGCTGTTAGACAGAGGTTTGATAGTTGCGCCAGCTGCACAGCAGGTAATACAGACGTATGCGCATGAGAATCTCCCCACTGTTCCAGTCGTAGTTTTACCCCAGCCGAAGAGCATGGGGAGAGGGAGGGGTGGGTCTCGTGGTCGGGGTCGTGGTCAGGCGTCGTCGGTTGGGAGGGGGGAAGGAGTGAGCAGCGGAGCGACGGAGCGTGAGGGCGCCCGCGCGCCCGCCTCCCTCCCGCCGTGAGAGAGTGGTTTGGAGTCCGCGGAGTTCTACACAGGACCTCGCGCCGTGCGTGCCCGCGCCTCGAGCCCTCTGCGTGGGGGCCAAACGGCTGCGGGCCGGCCAGTGCTGCCTAGCGCAGAGTGCAGCACTTGGCCAATCGATGCAAGGAGGAGGTTTTGCAAAGCCTTTCTCAGAATCCTTTAGGAGGCACTCTGGAGCGAATTTTTGTAAGTATTCTGGCTTCTCTGATGCTGTCTTGGATTCCACGAGCTCGAATCGAATCGAATCCTCCTCCTCCTCCTCCCCCTCCTCCTGCATATTTTGAGTTCACCAGACCTTACGCTTATACTCGTGTTGCGTGCCATCCTCCTCCTCCTCCTCCTCCTCCTCCTCCTCCTCCTCCTCCTCCTCCTCCTCCTCCTCCGGTTCGCCCCCCCACCCTGGCGCCGTGTCCTCCCCGTTGAAGGTCGCCGTCGGCTGCGCCTGGCCGATCGTTGACACGGACTTGATCGCCTCTTCCGAGGGCGGCTGCCGGCCCGACACTCTTCGTCGCAGAGGCGCTCGGAGGCTTCTGCATGGAGGGACCCCTCCTCGTCTTGGGAGAGGTGAGGAAGGAGAAGGGAGAAGAGAAGGAGGGGAGGGAGGAGGGAGGTGCAGGGACCGAGGAGGAGGCAAAGGAGGAGCTTGCTGGTGTTGCTCCTGCCTGGTCTGTGTGGCGGCCTGGAGGCCACGTCCCTCCTGGAGCTCAGTCAGCGCGGGGCTCGGGCTGGACCTGACTGGCCGAGGACCCCCCACACACACACACACACACACACACACACACACACACACACACACACACACACACACACACACACACACACACACACACACACACAAGGGCTCCCAAGTTCGCGCTTCGCGCTGCGCGAAGCGCGAAGAGCGAATAGCTTCGCGCTCTCGCGCCGACCCCCCCCGGGAGAAGAGGAAGATGGGGAGACATCGGAGCCGAACCACGAGGCGTGAACAATTTCGCGCCCTCGAGGGCGCCCCCCAGGGCCTCAGGGGAGAAGAGGAGGAGGAATCGGAGCCGAACCGCGAAGCGCGAATCGCTTCGCGCCCTCGAAGGCGCCCTTGGCGGGGATCTGCTGACCTGGGTCAATCCAGCCCCGGGCCAGTCAGGCTCTGCAGGATCCGGCGAAATCCTGCAGGATCCTGCGCCCCAGCCCATGTCAGTGCCGCCCTGGCTCTGCAGGATCCTGCAAGAGCCGGCGCTCTGGCTGACCCCCGTTTGCATTAACTCCCGTCCCGTGCGCCCCACCCCGCGCGCGACGGGTAGCCCTGGGCAAGAGTGACCTGCGGTGCGCGACGTTCGGGGGCCGCGGGGAGGCCAGAAACCCGAGCGCGCAGGACGCTGATCTCGCCAGGCGTTCGGTCATCTGGGGACCCCAGTTAGAGGCCTCTTAGATGGGATCGAAGTAGACGGGAGCGGAGGATCGCGCCGCATCGCTGATGCATCGACGATGCATCGGCAATGCATCGGCCATGCAGCGGAAACATCGGCGATGCACTGGCGCCGTCGGCGTGGGGAAACACGGTCTCCACATATCGAGCCGCATCGCCGATGCATCGGCGGTGCGGCGCGATCCTCCGGCCCAGTGCACTCGGACCCCATCTGGGAGGCAAAGAGCGTGCCCGCACCGAGGGTCACTCTGGCGAAAGGCCACTCTCACGTGTAGCCGATGCCGCGCGCACGGCCCTGCTCCGACGCGGCGTGGCCCGGCGAGGCCCGGCACCATGCCGAGGGCGCGGCAGGGCCCCCGCAGCCCGCGGTGCGCAGGCGGCCCCCCCGAGGGGGGGCCGCCCTGCTGCCGCCGACGCCGACGCCGACGCCGACGCCGACGCCGACGCCGACGCCGACGACGACGACGACGACGAGGACGACGACGACGAAGACGGCGCAGGCGCCGCGGGGGGGGGGGCGCCCCGGGCGGAGGTACGGCGCGGCAGGGATCGCGGGGGTGCGCGGCAAGGATGCACGGCAGGTTCGTGTCGTGACGACCCCCAGCGTCGACACCGCGTGGGACGTTCAAGCTTGAACGATGGCAACTCTTCGATCGCCAGGTCGCTCGGTGTTGGCCGCTGCTGGACCGCTGGCGGCGCGCAACCTTGGAACGCCCGCGGCAGGGCCGCCGCGTCGACACGACGAAGTGGCCGCCAGGATTTTGGACTCCCAAGCTTGATCCTTGCCGAAGTTAGGGAAACGAACTCTATACACCGACGCCTTTTCCGACCCTGCGCTGAAGTTCGCACAGGAACGCGGATCCTGGTATATACGGGATCCTGGTGTATACATGTTTCGTTGTTTCCCCGCAAAAACGAAGAAAAAGTATACACCAGACCACCCCGACGTCGCCCCCGTCCCTCGGAAAGTCATGGGATTGAAAAACGGCCCGCCACTGGTATTGTACATGTTCCAGCTTCCTTGGCCTTCGGACAGCTGCCCATCCCTGCGATCCACTCTGGCTGCAGGAGGGGCACGGGCACCCTGGGGAGACGGACGACCACTCCTGGGAAGAAGCTCGCCCCTTGCCTCCTCGTGCGCCCCGCAGCTGCGGGCCGCGGGAGGGCGGAGGCGTGCCGTGAGGCTTCGTGCACCGGGGCGGCTCCATCCGACCAGCCGCAACTGGGGGAGCTGTGGTCCTTATCCCCCCGGGGGAACCCATTGCCTCGACGATCTCTCTCGAGAGGGGTGTCGAAATCGATGGGTCCCCCAGGGGGGTAAGAACCACAGCTCCCCCAGTTGTGGCTGGCCTGCGCATTGCCCGAGACCCCAAGCTCGACTTGCGACCTCGGGTAGAGGGTACGCCACCAGCTCGGGAGGTGGCCTGGCGCTGGGCCTGGCGTCTGGCCGCGGTTTGGCTTCTGCCTCGGAGCCAGCGGCCAGACCTGCGGTTTTGGGGTCTCCCTTTGGATTCGGCCTCTGGCTCCACTTCAATCCCTGGTCTCTTCTTCTTCTGCGTAAAGATCATTATTAATATTATTCTTAGGATCAGTATTCGTATTATTCTTATTAGTATTACTATGATTATTATTATTATTATTATTATTATTATTATTATTATTATTATTAGTATTATTATTATTAGTATTAGTATTATTATTATTATTATTAGTATTGTTATTCTTATTATTATTATTAGTAGTAGTAGTATTACTACTATTAGAGATATTATTAGTATTAGTATTCATATTATTATTACTAGTACTACTATTATTAGTGTATTAGTATTACTATAAGTATTACTATGATTAGTAGTATTAGTATCACTATATATTAGTATTAGTATTAGTATTACTATTAGTATTGTTATTATTAGTCTTATTATGTGTCTTATTCTTATTCTTATTCTTATTATTATTACCTTCTTTTTCTTCTTACAGCGCGTTTCTTTATGTTCGGCGATGACGGGCGTCATGGGGGGGGGGGGGCGGGGGGGGGTATGACGTGACGCCCCCCCCCGCCGAGTGGCTCCGGCACCACAGCCGCGCCCGCGCGCACGACGCGACGAGCGACGAGCGACGAGCGACGAGCGACGACGACGACGCGAGCAGCATGTAAGTGGCGATCTGCCCATTGCGCCAGTGTACACCACAACGCTCGCGTGCACCACACCGCGCGTGTGCACCACAACGCCTGCGTACACCGCAACAGCCGTGTGCAACGCACCGCCCGCGTATACCACAATACTTGGGAGCACTACAGCGCTGGTGTACATACACCGCAGCAGCCATGTGCAACACAACGCCTGTGTACACCACGTTGCTTGCGTGCACCGCACCGCCTGTGCACGCCACAGTGCCTGTCTACACCACAGCATCCGCGTGCAACGCAGCGCTGGTGTACACCACAGCGCCTGCGTGCACAGGACAGGTAGAAGGAGCATGTACGTCAGGATCTGCTGCGGACAAGTAAACGCCACACCAGGAAAGTTCTGATAATCGAATGCGACGTTTTTCCCTCCTCTTTCCTCCTCCTCCTCCACCTTGTCCTCCTCCTCCTCCTCCTCCTCCTCCTCCTCCTCCTCCTCCTCCTCCTTCTTAGCCCCTGTCGTGCGGCTTGGCGTTACAACGCACGTGCGCATCTCAGCGTGCACGGCAGAATGGTCGATTGAATCGGTCCAATTGGTTCTCGGACGGCCAATTAAACTGGAGCTTCCTGGACGCAAGTGGGAGTTAGGGTGATGCGGGCGGACTCGGGGGGACTCGTAGATTCCAGCGGCGTTCCTTTGTCCATGAGGATTTGTTTTCCATTGTTTTCTCTGGAATGCACGCGCGCCCCGCTCCATTTTGCCACAAGGATGCGTTCTGAAATTCTATACACAACAGTGGTGCTGTGTTGCACACGGCTGATGTGGTGCACACAGGCGCCGTGGCGTACACAGGCACTGCAATGCACGCAACCATTGTGGTGTACCCTGTGTTGTGCTGCGCACGGCTGATGTGGGGTACGGAGGCGCTGTGGTGTACGCAGGAGCTGCTGTGCCCGCAAGCACGGTGGCACAAACTGACGCTGTGTTGCACGCGGACGCTGTAATGTACACCGGCGGTGTGGTGTACACAGGCGCTGCGGTGCACGCGGGCACGGTGATGTACACAGGCGTTGTGCAGATCGTCACCTACATGTTCGTGCGACCTGTCCTCTGTCATTCCTAAGCATTCCCAGACGCCGCCGGCGCGAAACGTGACGTCATCGACCCCCTCCCCCCCAAATGATTGCCGTCATCGGCCCGGACTGAAAAACAGGCTCGGGCCGCGTCCGCGCGCACGACGACGTTGAGCGACGAGCGACGAACTACGAGGGACGACGACGGAAGACGACGACGACGACGACGACGACGATGACGACGACGCCTGCGGACCAGACACCTATGCGGATTCCTACGCGGACACCTACGCGGATCCCAATGCGCACGGCGGCAGCGCCCGGAGCGCACTGGGCGGGGGAGCGTTACGTCATAGGGGGGGGAGCGGGGGCCATGACGCCCGTCATGCCCCAAGCAATAAAGAAACAGGCTCTTATTATTATGTTTCTTCTTCTTCGTCTTCTTCTTCTTCAGACAGCGAGGGGGACGAACAAAAAATGACTTTCGACGGCAACTGCGCCGAGGCGCCGAAGGGGCCCCGCGCTTCACTGCCGAACGACGGCACTGCGAGGCACGCCCGAAGGGCCCGGGCGCGAGGGCCCGCCGGCCCGCGGCTGGGGCCGCGCGCGCGAGCGGGCGTCGGAAGGCCTGCAGCGGTCAGGGAGAGAACGGGAAGAAACCGAGAGCGAGCGCGGAAAACAACGAGAAGGATGATGATGATGATGAGGAGGAGGAGGAGGAGGAGGAGGAGGAGGAGGAGGAGGAGGAGGGGGAGGAGGGGGAGGAGGAGGATAATGATGTTGATGCTGATGATGATGCTGATGCTGATGCTGATGCTGATGCTGATGATGATGATGATGAGGAGGAGGAGGAGGAGGAGGAGGAGGAGGAGGAACAGGAGCAGGAGGAGGAACAGGAGATTGGTGTATCGGCGCGCGGAACATGCTGTACTAAGCGCTGGTCGCGTGGGCATAGCACGCGACGTGCACAAAATTAAACACGGGCCCGCGACGTTGTACGGCGAAGCGCGGTCGTGCCCTGGGGAGCCTGCAAGGAGGTGAAGAAGGGAGGGGGCGGGGTACAGAAAGGAGAGGAGGCGGGCGAGGGAGCAAGGGAGGCTAGCCGTGATCGTCCCCATCACTGCCGTCAAGCAGAACGATAGGGGTCCCCGAATTTTGCGTCCATGGCCAGCGCCCCGAAAGACTGAGGCCCAGGGCAGCTTAGGGGGGCACCCGTCCGCGGATCACATGCCTCCCATAACCTGCTCAAGCAAAAGGCTGTGGCGCTCTGGCGGAGCACGCCCCACTTACGAGGCTTGACCAGACCTCCAGCACTCTCACGCGAGTAAGGACCGCAGGCCGAACAGAACATAGACGGCCCCACGGACCAAAGTCTGAGTTGGCGGCCTTCCGCCGTGCAGCGCGGAGGCAGGCGGGGTGGGGGGGACGAGGGCGCTGCGTCGGCACCGAATGGATCGCAAGGGGCGAACTCTGACAAGATCGTGGTTTCCGTCAGGCCCTGGGTGGTCGGCCGATGGCGCCCGGCCGCGGCGACCACCTAACATTCTGGAGTGTTCCTACCGCGGAGAGGGCCGAACCCGCAGGAAGCGGCAGAGGTATCTACCTACTGTCGCGACGAGCTGGCAAAGAGCCCACAACCCTGCGCTCTGCCTCCACATCCTTGGGGCGCATGGCCGCACAACGCCAGGCCGCTGTGTCTGCCTCCGCGCTTCCCACACGGATACAGCGCACATTGTCGGCAGCACCATCGTCATGATGATGTGAAGCCGTGGAAGGAGGACCGGAAAAAAATCTGTGGCCGAACAACAATTTTCGGGCCCGAACAAACTTCTTGTTCGAAAACTTTGCTCTGCCCAACTTTGGGGGTTTTGTGAGGACGCGACGCACATTATCCCGTCGGAATACAAGGCCCGCGGGAAGGCAGGAGTCGTGAGAGCACGAGCTGGCAACTCCAACGTCGCACACATCGCTCCTGCAGCTGCGCAAACGGGCCTGCGAAACAACGGTATCGTCGCCCGTGCCCTCACCGTGTCCGCTCCGCGCGGTGTCTGGATGTCAGGAACAGGGAGAAGCGACACCAACACCACCACGGCGGGGAGACGCGAAGAGGCAAGCTGGGTCTCTATGGTGGTAATTATGGCCCCCCTCTCGCTCGCGACATCCCCTATCCTCATATCGAGGGGGCATCGTGGACCTCCTCGCTGGATGTGGGCCCCCTGGTGGTGTTGGTGACGTTTATCTTCCCTCCGAGATGTGTCGAGGTTTGGGACAGATAGCGTCGAAACCCTCCTCCGGCCCACCAACTGCGCTGGCTGGGCCCCGACCGCTACAGCCACTGCTGCCACTACGATCCCTGCATATGTGACTACAGCTACAACGACGCCTACGAGTACTGCTGCTCCTGCCCCTGCTGATACTACCACCACTACTGTTTCCCTCAAGCGTTTGCC